GGAGCTGAACATCGCTGAACACTGGTCACTTAGGCTTTATGCAGCGTCATCGCATGTCAGACCGGTGTGGCTTTCTGGGTATCTGCACTGCAAAGCCTAGATTCCTAGATGGATGCTCCAGGCCTGGAGATGCGGCTGGAGCCACCCACTTTGCTGTACGGCTGCCCAAAACGAACTGAACGAAATCCATAAGAAGCTCCGTTCGTAGCGTCCTTGTTCCTGGTAGTAAGGCCAGGAGCCCCGTTCGTAGCATCCTCTTGTTACTAGTATGTTGGAAACTCATGGTCTCAAAGTAGGGAACGCGCGAGGACCCCGGTGCTCCCGGTGAAAGCGGTCAGAAACATCCTTTAGTCGAGGGTCCGTCCTTTTGGAAACCAGCCAATAAAGCTTCACTATTCACTACTCCCTCAGCCAGGCTGGCATCCTTTGGAGTTCTGCATGGTGTTGTGTTGTGATTTGTTTCGGTTTGCGGGTGGTTTTTCTGGTCGAATCGTCTTACCACTTCTCTGGGTCGTAACTCGCAGCTACACGCAGCTTGGCACGTCTTTGCGCTTCCACCACTTTACCATGTCATTCCTTTTTTGGGACGGGATATTAGCACCTTCACCAATTGTTTCAAAATGCTTGTTCACAAAGGGGTCATTGCCAAAGCTTTGTCAGCACGCAGATTAGTTTGTTTTCTGTACAGCCAGGCATTGCGTCCCGGCCTTCACTAGTGGGTGGCCTCAATGCTGCACGCTGGTTTCAGAACACTCTGACCAGCGCAAAGAAAACACAGAACAGTTGTCCTTTACTTTGACGACACCACCGCTTGATGTACTTGAATCCGCAATCAGCTTTGCTTCTCGTTCGGCCCCGCCACGCCCTTAGTTTCTTGCTTTCCTGCATTTGTGTTTTCTCGCTGTAAATTGTTCCTGCATTGCATTGGGGACCAACCAAGTTGTGCCTCGGATTGCCTCGGTGTCAGACCATTGCAAAGAGGAAACACATGTCTTTGTGCTTCATGGTTCTGCAAGTTCTGCTGAGCTCTTTCCATGGACATGTGACAGCCACATATTCTATGGCCACTCCACCGAAATGTCACGATGATCAACAACAACAACAACAACAACAACAATAGTAGTGACATGTCTCTTTACAGGCCCTTTATCTGGCTTCATGCTCATGACGGAGTCACAATCTCAAACAATTGGCGCCCCCACTCGCCATCGTCAATGACCTTGCAGGACATCGCTCTGCGCAATAGAAGAAACATGGCTGAGTCACATGACATGTCATCAAGGAGTCCCACAATTTCTTGTGTTCTCGGAGTCGCCAGGCGTTCTCGGTGGGCGAAATGCTAATGAAGTTGTGAAAGACTCCAACAAATTTAACTTATCCTCCGGCGAAATGCAACTGTTTTCATTATCATGTTCCTTTTCTTCGATCCAACCACCCTTTCAAACCAAGTTGAGGCTTATGTTTTCAGCCACGGCTAAGTCCAATACTTGTAAGACTTACACGGAGGGACTTTCACAAAAAGCTGTGGAACACACGCATGTAGCTACTGTTGCCAAGTCTAGTTCATGGAAATCATCGGTCGCTTCCGCATCATCTTGAATGTTCCAACAGTGCGACCGCTGTCGGCGATATCACTGGGCAGCTTGGACGAGCAAATCAAAACGAATGGAGCAGATTCCGATATTCCGTAGTGGCCGAGCTCCAAGCCAAGCGTGGCAGGTTTTGGTCCTTCGAGTGTGGCCTTAGCCGCTTTAGGGCTTCAAGGCAAGTTGCAGCCTGAATCGCACAACTGAGTGATTAGACCTTTAGATCGCATCACGGTTTGAAGATAGGAGCGCCTGACCAATTCCTATAGAAACAATTTTCATGAAATTGGCATGATAGCAAGAACTACTAGACAACAACAAAAAACACATCCCCACCAATATTTGTCTCCTGCAGCCTTCACATGGATGTTTCTACCAGCAACCATGTAGTACATCACGGCTTGTTGCTACGCCGTCCTTTTGTCGATGCAGCTGACCATATCCATGTGTTACCATTAATTTGGACTCCACGACTCCATCTCACCAGTTCCCGCAGTCTTGGATGCCCTGCTGGTGCCTAGGCCTAGGTCAACGAACATGCAAGCCATTCCCGGCAATGTTCTTCTACTAAGCTTTAGCTGCTTTGGGAAAATAACCATGACTTTCATCATGTCAGAACAAGTCCCGGCAGCGTCTTGCAGCAAACAGCTGCCGCAAAAGACATACTGAAATAAATACGGTTTTCTACTACTGCTTGTTGCATTGGAGGCCACCGGTGGACTACGAGGCAGGTTTCTGTGCCTGGGAGTTTTGACTACAATTGGGCTGGCGCAACTCAGAGGCGTTTGTCCCTGTTGAGTGCCTTGTAGCGATGGCCACCACCGAGCATAGGGTTCGAACACTACTATCAGCTTGCGTATTGGACATTTCAGTTCAGCATTGCCCATTTCAGTTGACGCTCAGCTCCTTTCTCTTCGAAGCGATGCATTCACCAGCTTTGAACTGGCGTTCCTTCGAATTGGCGGCTAGACTCTGTACGGTTTCCAAGCCAAGTGCGATCTATCTATACAAGTGCATGTTTAAAGATGCTTTTGAGTCTTTCTGGGATCAAAGCCTGCTCGTACACACGAATCGACCCGTGCTCCGATCCCCAAGACGAAGTCTAAGAGCCAGAACCACCCAGGAAGTAGAGGAGGCCACATACCAAGAGTCTGAACTTTTGGGCTTCGTATCATGTCAAAGCTCGGATTCGATTCGATCCTCTCGAATCAAATTGCAAAAGGCTGAACGTCATGGGCCTTGTTTTGCCTCGGCTTTTATACCCTTTCCGTTTGTTCGCTTGTGTGCGCCATCATGCGCTCGAGCCTCCTCCAGTTCCTGGGAGTCCTAGGATACGGTGCTAATTGAGGATTGTTTCCCACTTTCTCCGCTTCACGGCTGTTGAAGAAATTGACCTTAGGAAGTCGGGTCTTAGATCCTTGATCCCATGTGGGTGATCTTTTTAGGCTGATCATCCACATTTTAAACTTTCTTGGGTGGGGTGGACAACTGGCCTGGTGGGTCGTGCTTACCTTCAAATGGTTCCTTAATGCCTGGAAGGGCCAGGGTAGGGCCCAGGAATCTTCTTCGATACATACAGGGCTTCAAAACAAGAGTGGCTGAAGCCTCGAGTACTTCTGTGTTGAAGCATGTTGAAGCAACTCAGGCAACAGCAGCCTATCGCAGCGGTTGGGCTCGCGCATTGGCGGATGTGGGGCGCACTTGTTGTGCCCCAGGAATGTTTTGCAAGCAGTGCGCCACAGCATCAAAAAAAACAGTATATACGCAAATTGTTGTGAGATGTGGTCCAAAGTATTTCAGATCTTATTGCGGCAGCACGTGCTGGCGGAAAATTGTAAATCTTCAGTGCAAAGCGTAAAGCCACCGCCAGATCTTCCAACTCCTCAGCAGGATTCCCGTGTTTTCTCTCAAACCTGTCATCTAATCATATCAGGGCACCTATATAATTAGAACCAAACTGGACCTGAACCCGCTCTGCTTCAAGCATTGATGTACGTTCACCACCCTAACATCCATAGTGGGCTGCTTCTGGATTGCTGTAGACTCTACAGCTTGTGACCAAGTGGCAAACCGAGTCGCCGAATCAATGGCTCCTGGCTGTACACAAAGGCTCCAGGAGATGCTTTGCCTGACTCAAATGTGTCTCAAGCCTACTGGAAAACCCTGACCACATCTGACCACCCCAGAAAGTAGCGCACCCAAAGACAAATTCTGGAGGCCTAGCATCGTCCATTGAGTTTCGATTATATACATGCACCTTCAAATCTTGTAGAGAGAGCGATACACCCTAAGTACCTCCCAATAGCTTAAAAATGCTTAAATGTCTTTCTAGGCACAAAGCTTGCCACTTCACACGAGGGAAACAATTATATACCCCAAGCCACCCGGTTGGTCAGTGCTTCAAAGAACAAAGACTCGCTACTAGAAAAGCAAGGGCATCGCTACTAGTAACAACTGCATTAATTACTACATATTACTACTAGTAGCAAGAAGCTACTACTATAGGAAGCCCTTACTGCTAGTAGCGATGCACTGGTTCACCCGGTTGGTCAGTGCTCCAAGCTGCCAGTCATCGACGCTTGGCTGGCGCTGGACGCTTGATCTTGCGCGTAGCAGCGGGGAAGGGCTGCGGCTGGCCATCGGCAAAGATCATGGGCTTGTACTCCTCAGGTACACTCCTTGGTTGAAGCACAGAGATATACAGTAGCAGCACACTCACCACCTCGCAACCAATTGCAAACCGAAGCATCAGGACCAGTTCCACAAACAATACGATGCTCGATGACAAGAGTTTGCATCAACAATGTCTACTGCTTCTGGAGCAAACATTCGAGTGTGAGTCAGGTTCTGGATTGTATGCCAAACGGCCAAAGGTGGGGGGGTGTGATCTTTTGGAGTTTCCGGAGCAGACTCCTAGACAGCAAAAGGCATCCAGGGAAAGAAACAACAGAGTTGCAGAAGGCTTTGCTGAAATCCTCAAGCACCATGAAGAACGAAATGAACACAAGAAGATTACGTTATTCATAAGAAAATGACCACATTACAAACCAAAGGACACACAAACGATGTTTACTACCCACCTGTGATATGCCCCCGCGATCCCTGAACCCGCCACATCCAAGCGGCTTATGCATCACCGGGCTGTTCCGGTAGCGTTCGATATGGGCCAAAAGGCCCTGATGAGGCCCACTGAAGCTCACCCGACCCACCTGCGACGGAGATTCGGATCTTCTTGTTACGTTCGCAGTAATTCTCCTAGTAGCGATACCAGGAGCCCCTAGTAGCTTCTTGTTACTAGCGCATATTTAAACTTAGCCAAAAATGGGCTTGAATGCCCCAAAACAGGCGCAGTACTGCCATTCCTGTGTCAAAACCGGATCGTCCACTGAACATGGCCGCATTGCCTCACCCTGCTCGCTTTTCGCTCTTTCCAAGAGGGGCAACCCTGCTGGAAGACTTCTGCACAAGAAATGGCACTCTGTCCAGACTAACAAAGCCACAAGGCTCCCGCTGCAGCCTCCACGTCATGCGCTACTTTGAAGTCTCACATTTGCAGGCCAACATGCCCACTTGCCACATTTCCAAAAATGGGCTCAGCTCCCAACACGCGGTCTTTGACCCCATGGTGTGACGTTGAAAAAAAGCTACATTCCTCACCTCACTTTGCTCACCTCTTCTTGCTCTGAGCCTTGATGAAGGTGTCCACAGTGGTACACATTTTCTTGAAGGCAGCATCTTTCAGCTGCTGCAAAGGTGCCAGCGCGCGCTTCACACGGTCCTGTGCTGCCGGCTTGAAAGCTGAAGGGTGAAGCTCCTTGCTGGCAAAGGACTTCTCCACTTCTTGGAGCGAGAGATAGTCCTTGTCTCCTCCATGTTCAGCTTTCTGTCGCACTTCCAAGAGAGGTCCACTGGTGTCTAAGAGCTGGCATGATACAACTAAACTCAGGAGGTCCATCAAGGGGTTCTCAGCCAGTTCTCCTTCTAAGCAGTAGCATTTCTTCATCTTGCTATTCCAAACACTTTCACCTTCTCCAAGAGTCAAGCCAATGGGAGACTTCAGAGATTTGCATGTTGCATCAATCTTCGGGATGCACACCTCCTTTCCATCAAAGTTATCCTGGAGGTACTTTTGGCCCAAAGAATGATGTTTCTCAAAGCTCGCATCCGAGTAGATTGTCAAGTCTTTCACCCCACGGCATAGTGCCAAGAGGTCAGCGACATGCATCAAGGTTGAGACCACCTGACCACTTTCGCTCAAGGTTTCTCCTGCAGGAAGATGAGCTCCAACCTCATCAAGGCCAATCATGGGCTCCTCGCCAGAGGAGCTCTGGCGTTTCTTCCGGCCAGCATCAATGACACTGATCCAGTACATGTTGGGATTTCGGAGAATCTCTTCGGACTGCAATTTCACCTCAACTTCCAGCTTCAAGACACTCGCCATTGTTTTCACCGCTTCGCCTAAGATGCCAAAGTAGGCAGCAATGACTTTGAGATCGCCCTTCATCCTGTCCAACGTGAAGCTGGACCAGTCTTCGCACCACAGCACCAAGCGCTTCTTCTGATCCTTCTTTGCTCGCACCAAGCCCTGTAGCACGCACAAGACCTCTTCCGCAGTGACCGCACCCCCTTCGGGCCGCGGTGCAAACACCACGCCTACGGAGGCCGAGGCAGAGCTCTCTGTGAAGACCTGCAAACTTCGAAGTGGCGCTGCTTTCACCGTGCCTGCGTCTTTTTCACGTTGGACCTCTGCCTTGTGTTGCTCCACCAGTGCGACTAATTCTCGAGCCTCTTTGTCTTCTGCGAAATGCTTCCGACATGCTGCCATGATCTGGTTCAGCCTTTCAATGCAAGCCTCCTTGAGCCCCTTCTCCGAGATCTTGCCCTCAATGAAGTCCCGCTCCAGGCTGTCCGCTTCATCGTAGGTGAGACCATCCACCTCAATGCTATGCCGACCCTTAGAGTTCTCCAAAATCAGGTAACGGACATAATCGATGACCGGATTGTTCAAAACCCATTCCTCTGCAACACTGTCATCACCCTGCAGTTCCTTCTGCTTGGCGGACTTCTTCTCCTTTTCTTTGGGGCAAGCGGCATTGGTGATCTTCCGGCGCACATCTTCAGGCGTGTCTTCCATGAAGACGGCCGAGTCTGGGTCGCTCTTGGACATCTTGGCCTGCCCGGCTTTCAGACCCATCAACATGTGGTGGGAAAGGATGATGGGCTTGTACTTGATCCCGACAGAGCCACAGTACTCACGAGCAAGCATGTTCACCTTGCGCTGGTCCACACCCAATTGGCAAATATTGGCTTGCAAGATAAAAATGTCAGTACATTGCATGAGGGGATACAAGATCTGTGCAGCAGTGAGGTTTCCTTCTTCTCTGCCCATGATGGTGCAACATCTCTTCACACGGCCCAAATTGTTGACTCTGCTGATGTCCAACATCTTGGTCCAATACTCGGTAGCATTCTCTTCGATGAAATCGGATGCCCAAATGAATCGCACATTCTCCATCTTCATGCCACAGGACTTCCAAACATGAACAAAGTACATCCCGGTGTCCTTGATCTTTTTCAGATCTCCTCCCATCTTGTCGTTCATCAAAGCAAACCAATCTGCCACATAGAACTTGAAGATTCCTCCCGCTTCAGTACATTTATTCACGTTCACGGACTTGAAAAGGCCTTGTGCAATGTGCATTCTGCCCGAAGGTTCAAAGCCATCGTAGAGGTTGAAGGTTGCTTTCCTCTTGAGCAAGTCCATCAACTCAGGCTCCGTTTGGCATTCTTCGCCCACACTGCGCAAGAGTTTAAAGCGCTCCTCGATTGAGAGAGAATTGGGCGAAGTGGACGATTGAACCTCTTCTTGCTGCACCGCATCGGGTCCGCTGCGCTTTGCCACATACTTCTGTATGACCGTGGCCAAGTCATCATGTTCCATGGCTCACTGCCTAAGGACTGGTGTCTTCGGCAGTTCTTTTGATTGAAACAGGGTTTCAATCAGGATGGGCTTGGAATTCCAACAGGAACTCTTTGGCACTTTGGTCAGTTTCTTTAAACTTCACTTCTGGGTGGAAGTTCTTGGTGTCTTGCTGTCTTTAGGTTTGGTCTTGACTTTCAAGTTGCTTGACACAAACATGGACTGTGTCGCTGGGCTTCCAATCACTACGTCAACCTCTTGTCTACAGTGTTTTTCTTGCGCTTTGCACATTGTAGGCTTGAGCCGCTGGAGCAAACACATGACATGGGCTGTGGTGTGTTGCCATCAAATTTGCATATGCACTGCCACCACCTGGTTCTCGCTTCGACAGTGAATCCTATGGCCTTGGCTGTTGGCAAAGCCCATGCGGTGAAGCCTTCGAAGGCACCCCAGAACAACTTGACACTGGCCTCACGGCATGGACATGGCAGAACAAGTGAAGGAAGCCAGCAAAAAAAGAACACAAGTATATAATACAAGTTCTTGTCTTTCCTACATCCACCTAACCAGAATCAGTTGGCTGGAGCAAAGCACAAAAGTACTAACGTATCAGCATGGAAGGCCCTTGAATGGTATGATGTTCCAAGCCCATGTTCCTAGTCACACAAGAAGTTGGAAAGCAAGGACGCCTACACGCTGTCGTCTAAGCACACAAATCAGAATCAAACAACATCACACCACCAATCTACATTTAAACAGAACACATCCATTCCAGCAAGGTGCTTCATCTACAAGGTTCACGAATGCATAGCCCAGGTTCCTGGGCGGATCGGAATAAAAGTGGGCGAGAGATGAGACCCCCTCGCAGCTAAATCTGTGATGAATATGCGTCTCCGTCTCAGGATGTCTCAGGTAGGCCATGGTAAGCCACCTGGACTTGTCAGATTTGTTGGAATAGAAAAGCATGTCATGTACAAACTTGACAAACTAGTTGCATCATGATAGCCTTACAACACATTGCTTCAACTGTATTTTGCTCAGCTTCGCATGACGATGGAAGTCGCATGGCAAGTACAGAAAGTCGAAGTGCCCCAGAAGCCCTTGCTCCTCCAGCAACTCCAACAACATTTGCCTTGCAAGCAGGATGGATACTGACAATATGCAACTTCTGTGAGGGGAGACCTCTTATATAATCCTGAATAGATAGAAAAAGAAAACAGTGGCACCACGAGTCCTCGGTTTCTTCCCCTCAGCTTGAGGAGATACTCTCAGCCATGATGAATTATCGATTTCATCGAAACGGAAAACACTTCGCCGTCGCCTTTTCAGATCGACGGCTCTCGGCAAACCACGTCACGGCGCCCCAACGGCTGCCTGGTGTAGTTGTTGGGCACATTTCTCAAGCACACAGTCGTCCGCCCTCGCGGCTCCTCGGTCCAAAAGGCCCAAATGTCGCGGCTGCTTGGTGAAAGAGGCTAGCACGATGCAAACATAGTAACAATGTTCGCTACTAGGAACAAGTGCATCGCTTCTAGTAACAAGTGCCTTACTAGTAGTAACAAGAAGCTAGTAGAAACAAGTGCCTTACATGTTTTACTTTTTTTTCCCCTTTAAAAACAAAGCCCGGGGGTAGGCATCGCTAGGAGGGAGAGGTAGCTACTAGCTGCAAGCAAGCGACCGCCGACAGGACGCAGGATAGCTCGCACTCGCAATAATGATTTGGTTGCTAGATCTTTAGGGAAACTTAAGGTTAAACAAAAAGTAGTTTGTGCCATCATATGTGTGCAAGTAGTTCTCATCATATCACATCTGATCTTGCCATCATACAGTATGTGCTAGTAGTTCTCATCAAATATCACATCTTGAACGCTCAGAACAACAGCCACGGTGCTGGTACTTCCGAGTCCTCAGCCTCAGTTGCCTCACCCAACCTGCAGGAGCGGGAGCATGGGTGAGGAGCATCACCCCATTTGTTGTTGTTTTTGTTTCCTTAATCCTTTGGGCCTTTACAATAATTAGAATCCTTTAGACTTTCTCCTTTTCTAGGTGCTAATCTCTCATCTCTCTGGTTGTTTGACATGGGACTATGGGCATGACTCTGCGACATTGGACTTGAAGTGACCCTGAGGTAAAGGAAAGCAATGATCACTCGACTCCAACAGTACGGCTTCAGGGTTGGCTCACCACTCAATCTTGTGGCTTCAGCAAAGGTACGTGGCTGCATGTTCTACTTCCGCTGCATCTTCGCTTGGCTCCTGTCACGGGCGGAGAAGGGTCACACAGCAAGTACATAATGGTTTTCTCTCTCTTGATTTTGTCTGTGGGCATTATCATGTTCAGCTTTCTTCAAATTTCACATTCAGTTGAAGCGGCGCCTACAAAACACTGTCACCTCCACCACTGACTCTCCTGCAAAAACGTGCTTTCCTTGGGCAATCCTTCATTGGATGACCCTCAAAAAAAACATGTTTTTGGACACATTGGATCATTGGGCAATTAGCCTTGAACACCCAGTTGTAACATGTTGTAACACCTGTATGCAATGGAAGAGACGTGCTCTTCACGTCAGCTCTGCCCAAGTGAACACTGCCCAATTCCAGCCTGGCTCTGAGCAAAGTTGGATCCGAGGGTTGGGTCCTCGCAACAACTCGAGACATGCGTCCCAAAGCAACAAGAATATATCATGGTCCTAAGCAGCAGAACAGAACATAGGAACGAAGAACTGCCAAGGGTTTGAAGAACTTGTGAGATATATAGCTATATATATAATTATATATATAACTTGACAGAACACAAGTTCTTGTCAATATCATATATATATAGCATATATATATCATATAGATAGATTGAAGATCCCAAGAACTGCCCAATCTCAGTCCGACTTCACCCGACGAATCCGCATGAAGCGTTGCGTGGCACCTGGCGGGTAAGCGCTCGATGGCGAGTCGGAAAAGGAGACATCAGTGTTACATGAACCACAAGTCACCAAGCATCGTTGAATCAAGTCATGATGATAGAGACATAACACACATCTTGAAGGGATGATGACTGAATTAAAGGTCTTGCTAAACCTAAGCAGCGAAGACTTCCGGACTTCAAAGGCAACTTTGCATTTGCATACAGTATGCAAATGCAAAGGCGTTTCTCGTGAAAGAGGAACTCCGCAAACATGATCAAACATGCTCAAACAAGCTTCATGCAAGTACCAAAGATATCCAACAATTTATCATATTGCAAATGCCATGGCAAGACTGGGTCGTCCCGGCATCGCTGCATTCTGTGGTCCCTGCTGGGTTACCAGGGCTTTGCATACTCGATAACCACACACTACTAAACTGCCCATAAACTCAAGCCCTGCCGTTAATCCAGAAAGACTGAACATGTGCTTCCTTTCAAACAGAAAGGTGAGTGCTTGATTCCACAAGCACCACCACTGGTGGAAGAAATCTGCACTGGCTGGAAGCTAACAATCAAACAAACAGGGTTGCGGTAGCTCCCATTTTCAGCAGCCAAGCTTTCTTGGCCTAGAACCACCTTAACATGCCTCCCCTACTGATAAACCTCCAAAGTTCCCTAAGTTCCATGTCATACCACAGGCGATTGAAAGGATACTTATTCCAATGTCCCTGAATATGGCCGTTCTAGACAGTGAATCCGGATGTCAGGGCACTGAGACCATCCGTGAGGTCCAGAAATGTACTCTTCACCACCAGCTGCTGGCCGAAGTCCTGCAAATATATTAACTCGCACCATGTTGAAGAGTGGTGAGTATGATGGGGTTCTGAGCCTTGCAGCCACATGCCCGTGCAATAAGGGTAGGACCTTTTACTACGTGACAAGGCAAGTCAACCTTCTAGGAAGCTAGAGCCGCTTCATGTTTGCTGCACAACATTCATTACGGCAAATACCGCACCGATGCAACTTGTGACGGTACTTCTCAGTCCTTATGCTTTGGGTTACAGCAAAAGAAGCATGCTCACACATGTGAGAGATTTTGTTCATGAAAAGGCTTAGGCAAACGGCCACGGTTGTATTCAGATACTAATCGATTGTATTCGGAAACTGGACAGGTGTATTCGGATGTATTCGGAAACTAAACAGTACTATGATGTACTATCCAGAAACTGGAGAACACATCAACTTTCCGTGCAACTACCCCTGCCCCCCCCACCCCACCCCTTCATCCTTAGACAACTGTCCACGCAAGTATCCACCAAAATGTAATATTTCACAGAATACGATGAACGTAGTTTCTAAATACGATGACAATAGTTTCTGAATACAACGAAATTCTTTCTGAATACAACGAACATAGTTATTAAATACAACGAAACAGTTTCTGAGTCCCACAGTTTCTGAATACAACGAAATCGAACGAAATAGTCTCTGAAGACTAGTTTCTGAATACAGCGCAGTTTCTGAATACGACTTTGTTCCAGGCAAACAACATGAGTGGTAGCCTGGCTATTCCGGACATGGCCATAAGTCTGGAGTCTTGCTGCTTATGAAACATATCAAGATATATTTATCTTCTGAGGCAAAGCCATGAAGCTCTCCTCCGGAGGACCTTCAAATTCATGCTCGCCAGCAAAGCTGTGGTCCTGGGTGAACCACCAAGTCCCACAAACGACAGGCCGTTGCACTCTCAGTGTGGGGCCAACGACCCGCAAAGGTTCACACGCTTTCACAACCAACATATAATCCACAGTTGAGAAGAATTCTCGTATACAGGTAGCGTTTCATGGGCCACTTCTCTGGACAGGCCCGACAAGCGCTTCGCTTCCCCTTCACGGACCACCGAGGACCGGACTTCACCACTTGCCACCCCACTTCGCATGGTTCAGCCCGAAGGAAAAGGCAGGCTGAAAAGGAGCCAAAAGGGCTGCCCAAGCGGACAAAAGCCGTTGTCTATATAGAGAGAAAAGCCATGCGTCTTTAGCTTGAATGAATTGGCATCGTTATCTATGTTCTCCAACTAAAGAAGACTCAAATGGTCTCAGACTGTTTGTTGAATCCAAAGTATCGTGGGATGGAATTGGGGCTGGATGTAACACTGGATGTAGCACTGGAGAGTTTATTAGCAGTCAAAATACATTTATATACAAATAATTGAAAGTTGACGTCGCGGCGTCGCGGGCCTGATATCGAACATGGGCATTGCTAACCAACAGTTGGGAGAGGTCCTGCAAACAATCAAAAACGCATTTTTTACGCCAGTTGGTCTGCGCGCTTGTGACTATGAGGCTATTTGTGGAATTGAAATGCTGCTGCGTGGCTGATTTTTTGAGATCGAAAGAACATGTAACCATGTTCCCAATGTGTTGGACCTGTTTTCTCCAATCCCACTTGCAGGCAACCCTGCCATGCTCATGAAACCAGACAATGCTCCCCAATTGGTCACTTTGGCCGAAAAGCTGTACACTTCAGAACCTAGGAACGCTTCGCGTCACTGTGCGGTATGGCAAAGCTATGGCAAATGAATTCCATCCTGAGGCGATGCTGGGCATGGATAGCGGTCAACCCTCCACGACCGTCAAAAGCACCGTTCCAATGGGTTGTGGTCGTTCAAAGCCCGAGAAGAAAGAACACCCCTGTAGCGTCCTTGCTCCTAGTAGTAAGGCCAGGAGCCATCTAAGCAATGAACGAAATGAAGTGTCAGTTTGTTGAGCTTCGGGGCTTGCATCAACCGCAACCTTACTACACAGAGTGAGCCGCAAGCGATTGTTGTCTATGCAACCTTGGCATAGTCTCAAGCCAAAGGGTGTCACACGGCAATCTGGGGCAATGGAATTCTCAATTTTTCCAAAATCATCTGCCTTTCATGGGCGAGGGACACCCTGCAGCCATCGAAACCTCCGCGCAAGCGTGCACCGAATTAGTGATGAATTGCCATAGCGCCTTCTGCCAAAAGCAAATAAGGAGCGACGACTAGTAAGGTCTGTCCTCAGTTGGGCGTCACGCTGGCCAATATGCATTGTATTTCAGATGCTATGCAAAAGCTGCTGCCATGCTTCTTTCCAGGACCCCTTGAGCACCTGTACTATACACCGATTTATCGAAAACTGTGCCACCAGCGTTGGATCATGAAGCTGGGCTTTGCCTGGCGTAAAAGTGTTAGCGCCAGCTAAGCTGAAGTAGGCTGTTGCTCCTCACAGCAAAATTGGGAGACAATTGTCTTAACATCATGAGGGTCTAAAACCTTTTCTCAATCTTTCAACGACCTTCACTACTCTGCAAGTTCTCCTAAGCTTCTTGACTTGAGGGTCTCTGCTACAAACGCAGCCCGGTCTCAAATCCCTCTGGCGGTGAATGGAAGTATGAAGTGACTAGGGCAAACTTGTTTGCAGCTCAGCTTGAGCCAACACAAAAAGGGATTCTTTCGATCACCAGCATCATAACAAACAACAGGCCTCAGCTGTAGCTTTCAGCTGATTTTGAAGGTGGTGGCTTTACCTGGCCAAATCAAAGGATCGGCTTGATCGTTGCATGCCAAATGTGGGCCAAGCAGCAAACGGTGTACATACTGCATCATCTTTCGCAATGTCGAAATTGGAATAACCAAAAAGAACACCTGTGCATGGTGAATCTATAGGCCTGTCATATCTTAAAAAAAACTCTACAGTTTTAAATACTCACTCACTATGATATGCAAATCCTGCTAGGTGATCCGCCGGATCTGATTTGCTGGACGATCTGATAACCTGGCTGGATGTCATAGGTCCAGCCTTTCTTGTTGGGCATGGGAAGGGCTGCCGGACGCCGTCTTTGAAGACCAAAGGCTTGTATTCATCTGGCACACTCCTTGTACAAAGCAGGGGAACATAACTTCACAGCGGGATTTGGCTGGGCCAAGACATCTAACTAAAAGGCATTACCACACCTACGTTCTTTTTGATCTCTCTCTCTCTCTCTTCTTTCTGGTCTTTTGGTTTTTGTCAATTAACCATGATATACATTTACAAACAACTTGCTAACTTTTGTGCAGAGTCAGAGCAGCAGTCAAACTTGTAGCCCAGAAACACGAAACCACAGTCGGACGATTTGTACAGACTCCAATTACCCTATGAGTAGTGGCCTCCAACCTACTAGCCGTGGCTCCAACCTAATAGCAGGTTTCTCCTGAATTCGTCTTTAGAACCATTTGCCTTTGAGAATCATCGCACAACACACACCTTTCAGTCTGCTCTTCCGGGTTTCTCCAGGGCTCTTGTGCATCACCGGGCTATTCCGGTACCTCTCCACATGAGATTGCAAGCCTTGATGTGGGCCGCTCCAGCTCACCTTGCAAACCTGGGCTGTTCCATCAGGAAAACCACTGGAATGAGCAAGCCGGTTGGATAATCGGATATGTGTGGACCACTCTCAACGGGGAAGTCGAAGAGACACACAGTTTTTTGTTAAAACATATGAAAGCGGCTTCTGACCTCGAATGGCAGTGTTTTGTGGCGATCTGTACCCATGATCTGTGATTATGCATGGTGGCTTGAGCTGCTTTATGCCCTTGTAATCCAGGGAGATCCCTGATCTGTGGTGAGTTTTGTGTCATGCTAATGTGCGGTGGTGATCTGTACACTGGTGTAGCAATATGGGATGCTTTGCTACTATCGCGAAACGGTCCTGGAAAAGTTCAATCTGTTAATGGGGGCGGGGGAGTCAATTCAAGCATTTTTGAGCCGGAGGAGAGCCCCCACCAACCACACGTTTAGTTTTTTCCCCAGACAGTGTGGACACACTTGGGGGTTCTTACGGTAGGGGTTAAGCACCGGGGCTAGATCGGTGACGGCGCGGGCGTGGACAGCTAATTCGCTGCTATTTACAGTACATTCATGCCTCTCGCGAAATCTGGGTGCCGGCGGCGGGTGCTTGTCGCGACTGCGCTCTCGTTGTGGTGCCCTGCACATTTTCGTACATGGTGGTCACTTTTCGTGGCAAGTGCAAGGGAAACCTCGTGTTTTGGTGGTCCAAAGTCGGCTTTTCGTGACAGGTGCAAGGGATCGGAGCGGTTTTACTTCGAAATGCAGATTTCGTGGCAGGCGCAGCACTTTGGACATGGAGGTGATTGTGGAGGCGCTGTGATTTCGTGACAGGTGCAATGAATCGTGACTTTTGGACGTGTGGCTCGTGTGCAGATTTTAGTGAACCTCGAAGTGCCGACTTCGTGGCAGGCACAGCACTTTGTGAACCTCGGAGTTTCGTGGCAAGCACAGCACTTGCTGAACCTCGAAGTGCAGATTTCGTGGCAGGCACAGCACTTTGTGAACC